TGGCTTGTCGTCCACGCTCCAGCACAAGTTTTCAGCGCCGCCAGAGCTTCGAAAGTGGACGTCCGAAACCAGTCCATCACGCCGATCAGGTCCGCAGGCTCATCCGTCTCGGCATCGGGCTCGGTGTCGTTCAGCAAGGACTTCAATGGAGAATCCGACGCCTGAGTGCTCGATGCTCAGCAGCTTCGGCGTCGAGTCAGCGGGTGGCAGCAACAGGAGGGCGATGACCGCGGCGCGCCATGGTCCGACGATGTCTGCCCGTGGTTGTGCGCCTCCATGCCCGTTCGCGTATGTCACGAGCTGCTCGTTGGCGTCCGCGTCGTGCATCTCGATGTGCCCGTAGATGATGTTGAACTCGGGCCGTCGTAGGACTGCTGCGAGGAGCGGGGCGCCCCATTTCATCCAGTTCTCCTGTTTGTCGATCATGGGGTCCATGCAGATGTCGGGTAGCCATGTCGCCGCCCATGCTTCGGCTCTTTTGCTCGCGTATAGGATGAACTGTTCTGCCCGAGGACGAGGGGCGTGGGGCGCGTCTCCGCGTAGCTGAGTGACGTTGCACCCGCGCGTAGCATGGAAATCCCGCAGCTTGTCGCCATGTTTCGACGCGTTTGAGGATGGTTTGCCACAACTGCCGGAACCCCGGCGGGGCCGTTGGAGATCCAGGATGTAGCCCCGCTGAGACGGCGCGGTGCACTTGCCCTTGCCTTGCTGGCACCAGTTCCAGCATCGGCGCTTGGCTTGCGCTGCGGCGCCGAGATGAGCCGATTGCTAAACATGTCCCGCGCGGGTGACGGTGCCCATCGAGCGCGTGAATGAATTGAACAATGAGCCCTTGCATGTGGGGTAAAACTGGCTTGCGACGGCAGCCTCGAATCTCTCGGCGTCGGAGATCTTGCGCCCCCAGCGCCAGTGGCTGGCCTCGATCTTGACAGCGATGAGTAGATCTTCAGGAGCAACATGACGTCGTAGTAGGCGGGGCCTCCAGCCGGCAAGCGTCATTGCACCAGCCTTGCAGACGTGCTGCAGTGGATTTCTGCGTGGATTTTTGCCCGAAGCGTCGAGCGCAAAACGAAGTGATTTTCGCGTGGGTTTTGTCCGTCTCCATTCCCGGCCAAAAGATCAGTGCGAAATTCACCTCGCAATCCGGAGCGAAATTCTCCTGGACACTCAGGGCCCACCCTATCGTTTTCCGAACGAAATCCGCTCTGCGATGTTGGCGTCATGACAAGCGTCGTCGTGGCCGCGCGCCACATTGGCCGAGAGGAGCGCCTCGATCCCCTGAGGCATGTCGGCCACAGCACAGATCTTGACTGATAAGATGCCCATCTTTGTGATGCTCGAGGGAGCAGCTCGAGGTAGCTCTTGCAGTTCATGATGGTCTTTGGGAGGAAGCGCGATGAAGGTGGGCGCGGCTGGCCGCGGCCGACGCGTGAGAGGCAGGCGATGGCGGCTTCGTTGTAGAGTTTGCTGCGCTGCTGCAGAGGGCGCGGGATGGATTGAAGTCGATCCCGCCACTTGCCTGCTGGCGTGCGCCACTGGGTGGTCATGGGCACTCCGTGGCAGACGCAGGCGCCGAGGTATCGAGAATGGCTCGCGACCGTGAACTCTTGCCATGGCTCGTATAATTATCCGAAGATGGCTTGGGTCGTATTCGCGACGTCGGGCCTGGGGAAGGCCCATGCAGGCGCGGCGATGCGCTTCTTGGCTTGCAGATGCAGCCCAGCAAATCATGTCGGACAGTTTGGGTGCGCGGGAACTGCTTCTCGATGCCCCTGGGCGCAGCGAGACTGGCCCCCGTGTCGTCGACGCCGGAGATGGCGAAGGAGGCCGCGCCCGATGCCGTCGATCTCCCTTTTGATGCCGCGGATGACCGGGCCGAAGATGAGCGCTCATGTCGCGCCGCTGAGCGGGCAGCCTCGGGCAGCGCTGGACTCGGCGACGACGAGGGGCCTTCTGTCGCCGTCGAGCACGAGGGGCGCGATGGGCAGGTGGCAGCAAGCGCGCGGGAAGGCGAGCATTGGTCCATGGATGCCGCGTCGGCTGGGGCCGTCGGAGGCCCTGTCGTGCGGGAAGCTGGGTGTCCATGCTGGCAAAGCATAGCGCGGTGTCGGGCGCGCCCTCTCCGATTCTGAATTGCCGGCTAGGCGGGCGGGCGGCGACGACGCTGTTCATCCTTGCTGTTCGGGCGCGGCCTGCGCGGCGACGCGGCGCAGCTTGCTGTCGGGCGCGGGCGCGACGAGCCAAATTCTTCAATTCTTCGTGGCCAGAGGCCTGAGGCATTCGAGCGCGTGGGCGCGTGGGAATCTCCTCGTCGCTCAGGGGGGGGGGGGGGGTCGTGGCCGTCGGCGTGTAGTTCAGGTCGCGCGGGGCGGGGCCGCCATTGGCGATGGTGCTCGCGAGTTCGGCGAGCGCGTCGCAGCTGCCTGAAGAAGCGAGCCGGGCGCGGTTGGGCGGGCCGCCGGGCCCAAGCGCAGGGCCGCCCGCCCGCCGAGCTGCGCCGCGAAGGTCCTGCCGTCCTGGAAGAGGGCGATCTTGCAGAGGCCCGCGGGGGTAGACGCTGTCGAGGCAGCGCTGCATCTTCTCGTTGCCGACGGGCTCGGCGGCGGAAGCCTCGCCCCAGCGGAGTTGCATCGCGCCGCGCGTGGCCATCGGGCCAGAGGCCGCGCGGCGCTGATCGCCCGCGGTAGCGCCGACGCCTGCGAGGACTAGTCGTTCGGCGAGGGGCTTTCAGAGCTCGCCCACTTATTCGTCGCGACGGGCAAGATGCCGCCCCTCGTCGCCCAACTGTCCGTTGTTATCCTGGCGGGGCGCTCGTGATTTTCCGGCGGCTTGCTGGCGTCTGCACGACGGAGCTTCGCTGCAAGGGGCGGCGGGGCTCGCGCGCGTTCAGCGGCGCTAGAACCCCCGCTTCGCCAGTTGTCTCCGAGTCGCCGTCAGACCCCGAGCAGGGGGACATGTGGTGATGCTGGGTAGATGCGGCAGAGAGCTGTGGGTCGGAGACGTCGCCGTGGGTCTCCTGGGTCGCGACGACAGCTCGACGGCGCATGTGCTGGGTGAGAATGGCCCTCTTAGCAGGCCCCCTGGCAGCAGACCTTCCAGGCCGAGCTTGCGAATTCCAGATGGCGATGCTGAGGGCTGCTTTGGATGGTTTGGTGAGCCATGGCGACCGTCGCCCGGGGCGGCCACTGCGCCGAAGCCATCGCGCCCGCGAAGGCAAATGCGAGTTCTTCTCCGAGCCGCGCTTGAGCTCGCAGAAACATGCAAGCAGGGGCAGCAGTGGCATCAGACCACCGAGCCAGGCAGGGGTCCGACGCGGCGTCGCCAACAGGGACAATGACGACGCGGGGGCCGTTGAGCGAGGGGAACCCCAATGAACGGTGCATTCCTGGCAGGATGATCGGGGACTTGACTCTGGTGAGCTTCCCAAGCTTTTTGACTTAAACTTCTTGGCGAGCCATTGTGGGTGCTCTGTCAGCGGAGACGTAGAACGCGTTGGCCCGTCCGTCGTGTCGACGTTGACGGTTCGTCAGCCTTGTCCGTGTCGACGGGCACTGTGTAGCTGAGCAGCGCGAGGGCCGGCAAACACATCACCGCCGTGATGTGTAAAATGCATTGGTTTCGCAAGTCCGTAAGCTTTGATCGCGGTGGAGTGGAAGCCGACCTGCGCAGCAATATACCACTCCGTGAGGGCGCCTTGGGGCGAGGTGGCGTTGAACTCGTAGCTGGCGCCGCACCAAAACGCGCCGTAGTGGGGGGTGCGCATCCACGTGCCGGGGGAGTCGATGTTAACTGCGGGAAGCATGGCTTCAGCGGCTGCAAGAGCGCGCTTGATGGCAACAGCAGGTGGAACGAAATTGTTGTTGAGCGTGTCGGCCACGTCAGCACGTCGATTACCTTCAACAATGTGGCGTTCGCGTTGTTTGTGTCGGCCGACGAGCTCGGCGGCAGTGTTACTGATGGAAGCGAGGACCTGGGCTTGGGCGTCAGATGTCACTTGTTTGGCAAGGTTCTCGAAAGCCGCTGCAACTGCGTCGATTTGTCCTTGTCACAAATATTGAAATACTGTGCACTGGTGGGCAGGGACGGATACAACAACATATTTGGCAACGCCCGTAGCCCATGGGTTGAAGCCGTGCTGATGATGGTGTCGAGCAAACGACTCTTGTCCTCCAGGTGGTGCATGAGCTCCAGGGAGAAGGGCCGCCTGTCGCTCCTCGAGAAGAGCCTCCCGTGAAAATTCGGCCGAGTACAGTGATGGGAGGGCCGCGCACCCCGTGGGAATTAGCGCGTCGATATGGATGGCGAGGAAAACCAAATTCCAGACCGTCCCGCGGACTAGCGGTATCCGCGGAAAACCAGCGAGCGCTGTGCCGACACAAGTGAGGTCTTGCGCCTAAACTGCTACGGAGGAGGAGGAGGAGGAGGAGGAGGAGGAGAAGGAGGAGGAGGAGGAGAAGGAGGAGGAGACGAGGAGGGAGAAGGAGGATACGCGGAAAGAGGAGGGGGAGGAAGAGGGGGGGGCGGAAGAAGGACGAAGGAGGAGGAGGAGCAGGAGGGAGGATGAGCAGGGGCTGGAGGAGGGGGCCGCACTCTCGAGACTCTATCTCGCTGGGAACCAGCAGCGGCAGCCGGCACTCGCGCAATCTCGTCATCATCCTCTGTGTCCTTCTACTCCTGCTCCTTGCTCCTGGCTCCTCGATCCTCGCTCCTCCTCCTCCTCGTCCTCCTCCTTCACTTCCTCCTGCTCCTCCTCCCCCTGCGCCTGCTCCTCTCCTCCTCCTCTTCCTCCTCCTCCTTCTCCTCATCCTCCTTCTCCTCCTCCTCCTCCTGCTTCTAAGTCTACTCCTCCTCCTCCTCCTTTTCTTAAGCAGGCCTCTGGAGCGAGCGCTCGGGGCGTCAGCTCCCTCCTTCTCTTCTTCATCCTGTTCCTCTTCCTCCTCCTCCTCCTCCTCCTCCTCCTCCTCTTCCTCTTCCTCACCTCCTCCTCCTCCTCTTCCTCC